CAAGAGTATCACATATTTCGATGCTAATGACCAAGTTCGCGCCTTAAAAAGAATCCAGTCTTGGGATTAATTTGTTAAGAAGGAACATGTGAGTGTTTTCCTGTGTTAAATGATTTTTTAAAAGAAAACAAATTGGAGATTCCGAATGGCAGGTTTATTGATGAAATATGTGAACACCTTTAAAATTTTGAGATATCCTTTGTGCACTACATCCCAACCGCTCGAGATACAATGCTGCAAGACAATGAATGGGTGATCAAACCTGTTTTAGTTCCGACAAAACCAACCATTCTATCTTCAAGTGAATACGAATGTGTGATAGACATTACATCAGACTCAACTTTGAAATTTACTTTCGAGTCCGATACTTACCTCTTTTGTTGGCTCCGACTGGATAACATTTTTAACTTTTTCATTTTGCCACAACTTAGCTATGCCGAACATGATTTTCTCTCTATACAGCCACTAAAAGTTAATCATTTCCTCATTTCACTGACTTAGATAATATAAAACTACATGGTGTGTACTGAATTAGACAAAGAATAAAGAATTGATTGTTGTATGACTGATTGTAATAGCCTGTACTAGCGAAAATCCGACCCCAAAAAGGTATGAACAAGATTTCTTAGAAACACATAACACATGGTGAAATAATATACAGCTTGATCAAAATTTGCTTTTTTTATTTTATTAATACTAGACATTATTATATTTTTAGGAATAGTAGTACTAATAATATAGCCTTTCTTACAAAAGTATATACAATAAATTCTTTATTATCTTTTTATGGGTTATTTTTAAAATATAGAAAATTGTATGAATTCTTTATATAATTTATTATTCAGGGGATCCTTATTTTTTGCAACTTGTAAGTCATCTTAACCAGTTAGAACAAAAATTTATCATGCAGCCCAGACTTTCTTGTTTTCAGGAAATCAAATTTTTCATTAATGGCAACTCCTACATAACACCTACGAGAGGGGTGGCGTGGCCTAAAAACACAAGGTTTTTTTCAAATCTTATTATATTATATTCAGTTGCACAAGGTACGGTTCTGTAAGAGAGGTTCCATAAAAAGGGATTTTACAATTGCAAACATAAGATAAGTAATATGTGGATCTCATGTAATAAAACAATCATTATGAACAATGACATATTTTACCTCCCCATAGGTGCTCTTAAACAAACATCTGCCTAATCGTAGAATATTGAAATCGTTATTAGATATCGTTAATACTTATTTTTATTAATTATGGGTATTTATCTGCACTCATTTGTTTACTATCATATTAGTTTTATGATTTTATCTATTTATATATTATCCTTATTATTTAAAGGATACTAAGAATCAGGGTTTGTGCTCCCCGGGTTATACTTATTATTAGTATTATTTAATATTTTATGAGTTTGACGTTATTTTAGTTACATAAATACATATATATGATATGTACATACATCAATACTTCTATAGAATGTGGTTTCTAGAAATAAATATTTTCTATTTATACTTTTCTTTTATTTATTTATTGTACGTATAATGTTTAGTACACATTTTGAGTTATTTTTTAATTTTTATTTAGTTTTTGTTATGTATGCATTATTGATATTACTTAATAGTTCTTCTGTTTTACCACATTGTATTTTGAAAGTGATTACAGTTTATATATATTTTTATATATTTATATATTTTTGTTATTGTTTCAACTTTTAGTTTTAAATTGGAGACTGCACTTTTTCCACTAGTCGTTATTTTATCTTCTTTCAGATACTGCTCGTCGGGCAAATTCTAAATGGAAATGTATGTCAAACATGCCGTTGTTTGATGTCTAGTTTATACAGGAAACTAAAAAAAGCATAAAGAAACGTATGTAGTAGACAATTCGGGGGTCGCAACAGCCTCAGGGTGATCCGCCCTAATCAAAAGGCTTCCACAACAAACATATCCTGCAACTACTTACAAGGATAACAGTTATTCTTTTAGAAATTACAGACAATCGACATTCCATATTGTTTTTCTAGTTCTAGTTTTCTAGTTGTCGACTTCCTTCTCCATCCCTTCAAAATACAACGTATATAAACATAAAACAGCAAAATCTCACTGGCCCTCTCAACACGACAGGCAAGAATGGCACAATTACACAGAAACAAACACTTTGAGTGATTAGTGGTGATTAGTGACCGTTAATTGATATTTATTTAGAAATATTGAGATGCGGTCTGGTGAGATGTAGGTTTCAGAAAAATGTTTTTATGAAACCTACATCACACCAGACCGCATCTCATGATTTCTAAATAAATATAGTAAATATTAAGATTTATTAAGAAACGTATAAGATCATTGATAAATAGATTGTTTAGTTTATGCAACTAATTATTATTTTTAACGCCATATTTTTTATTAGTATAGAATGCATTTTTCGCCTGTTAGTTGCTACAGAATGCTCACAGTTAAGACTTTTGAGAAAAAATTGGGATTACACGAGGCTTGTACCAGAAATGATTCGTTGTGTACAGATGTACGGTGCTTGGATATTTGTAGAAGGTTGACTCTTGAGGAGTATTTGTGTATCGACGCCTTGAATGTAAATCTTGAGTATAGGTAAATAGGTTTTTTGAATTTTATTATTTTTAAAGCCGTTGTAACTGTTTTTAGATTGATGGGTTCCTTTATTTTCATCCAATTCAATTTCACATAATATGGCGTAACATGCTCAAATAGTTTTAAATTAAATATGTAGCGAACACAGGCATTCAAACATTTTTGTATTCTATTGAGATGTTCGTGGTTCATGTCGAGGAATGGTAGAAGACAATACTCGATGTGTGGTATAATGAGGGATTGAACCATTTGTTTTTTAATATTTAAGCCTGGCTTTATTGTCATTGTTCTTAGTTGATGTAGGCTTCGGCAAATGTTTTGACGTACATTTGAGGTTTGTCTTTTGCAACTTAATGTTTCTTCGATAGTGATGCCTAGATCTATGACCTCGTGAACGTATTTTATTGCTTTATTACCTAACATAATATTGGAGATTTTATGTTTTTTTAGTTCTCGGATTTTGTATAGCCTATGACTATTGCGTTTGTTTTATTTTCATTTATATGTCAGCCATGCTTATTACACCATTTGTCCATGTTTTTTATTTATTTATTAATTGTATCGATTGTTATATTCATTTTATAAGGCTTACATTTTATGTACACTTGAAGGTCATCAGCATATAATGTTGATTTGCATTCTGTGAAACAGTCGCATATGCTGTTGATTACTAGAATGAACAGTAGTCCGGACAAAGTGGAACCTTGTGGGATACCTATTTTTACATTCTTCTTAGCCGACATCTTATCTTTGTTTTTAATCCGTTGTGACCTCCCGTGTATGTACGATTCAAAAAATTCTACCAAACTTCCATCGATGTTGTAAAATTGAAGTACCGATATTAAAAGCTCATGATTTATTGAGTCGAATGCTTTTGAAAAATCAAAGAGCACTAGGATCCTTAATTCTTTCTGGTCTATTGCCTGCCGTGTGTCATCTACTAGTTTTATTAACGCAGTATTGGTGCTACTCCCATATTGATATCCTGTCTGCGTGTTGTTTAGTAGAATATTACTGTCAATATAGTTGATCGAGTAGATTATTTTATCTAATATTTTGCTAGGGGAGCACAAAACATTTATTGGTCTAAAGTAACTATGTAGTGTCGGATTGGATGTTTTTGGAAGTGGTATTATGACACTTTCTTTCCATAATTCGGGTAGGTCTTATTTATTAAGCAGTGATTATATATGTGATTAAGTGCCGGACTCACTTCGTGTCTTATCATTTTTAGGAATTTGATTGGCACATCGTCTACCCCTATTGCATCCGAGGTTATTTCGGACATCGCTTTTATTACATCGCTAGTAGTGACTTCTTTGATTTCGAATTTTTTCTACATTAAATGCAGTTACTTGATTTCTGTAGGATCGCAGAATCTCAGGGTTTATTTGACTTTCAGCATTAGTGTTGAAAAAAAAGCTGTTTAATTCATCAAGATCTACTTTGATTTCGTCATTATATCTTCTTTGTTTTCCAGCACTATAGTTTCTGAGTATTTTCCAATTTGTTTTGTGTTTATATTATTCTGAAATAAGTTAAGGAAGTGTTTATATTTTTCGTTTCTTATTTTTTGTTTGATTTGATTTCTTAAAACACTTCCCAATCACTCAGGGTTTTGCTTTTTTCATACTTTTTATGAGCCTTGTCCCGGTGTTTTCTGAGAGTCATTATTTCATTTGTCATCCATTTTATAGGAATTTTTCTTTTCTTGAATCCACTACTGGTGCGAATTTATTTAGTAGTCTTAATATATTCTTGTTAAACATGTCTATTTTTTGGTCTATATTTCCTATATCATAAAGTGATTGCCAATCGATTTCTTTTGCATGTTCAATTAAAGCGTCTTTTTTATTTTTTTGTATTTCTAATGCAAACTTTTTCTTTTCTTTGACTAATCCCTTCCTTAGTAGAGAGTAAACATTGTATTAGGTCGTGTTTTGATAGCCCTGGTGTTGGAACTTGCCCTTATGATTCAATGATGTCAAGATTGTTGCATAAAATAATATCTAGTAGAGACTCACAGTTCGTTGTGTGTTGGTAGGTGGCTTTTAGAGGCAGTATGTTCATATTGACGATTCTTGCTCTTTCTAGTAAGAAATTTTTTTAATGATTTTACTCAATAGATCTGAATTCATATCGCCTAATATTATTACATTATCATATAAAGGTAATAATTCTGATATTATATTAAATATTTGATCTAATTTTTTCCCTTTTGGCGGACGATAAACTATTCCGATGACTAGTTTTATTCTATTTGTCATATGTGGCTATAAACAGATATTCTGGTTCTACATTATATTTTGAATTTGAAATAGACAGAATTTTTTTTTTCAAGCATATCTTTTATATATACTGCGACGCCTCCTCCTATGGCATTTTCTCTATCTCGATGAACTAGTTTATAGTCCTTTAGTTGAAAGGCGCTAGATAAATTTGCCGGCTTTAAAAAAGTTTCAGCAATTCCGATTATATGATATGTACCATCATTAAAGTACTGGAAGAATTCATCCCAATGAACCGTTAAGTCTTGTGGTTGACGTGGCAGATATCAATGTTTTTGGAGTTTATTGATGGTTTGTTGTTATTTTTTATTGTCATCTAGTATGTGAGCGTATTTATTAAAAGTATAGATGTCCCTAGCTTTGAAGATTTTAATCCAGTATGTGTTGTGTTGAGATTGCGATAACTGATCTCTCCTCCGCTGTAAACAAAGGGATTTACGTGAGTTTCATTTATTGTACGGAATATAATTGTAGATCCATAGTTGTTTGAGTTTGTATTCAAATAACGTGTTGTTCTATTAATGTTCTTCATTTCTAGTATATTATTTGTTTCTTGTACTGCTGTTTTATTCTTTTTTATAAAAAATTCTTTACGCAGCTTACTGGTTTCCGTTGAGAATCATTTGATATTTTTACAAAAATTTAAGATGCGGAATACCAAAACTTAACTATTTTACCACTAGCTTTCAGTTCCTTATATTTCATAATTATTTTTCGGTTAACTAGTGTTAACCTGTTGTTAATGAATACTTTTTATCCTACATTGTGGCTAGTGATTTTTTGTTCTTTGATTTTCTGTATTATTGTTAGCTTATCAATTTTTCTGACACAGTCAGCAACTATTATTGGTCGATTACTGGATCCTTTTTTGGCGGGTATTTTATAAAGGTTCCTGATCGATTTTTCCTTCATGTCACATCCTAATAAGGAACACAGTTTTTAAAACAGGTGTAATTAATTCGTTATTATTATCAATTGGTATTCCGTGAATTTCAATCGAGTTATCGAATTGCATCTGCTCTAGGAGATTGAATCGATATTGTAGTGATTCTAATGTTTTGGTATTTTTGTTCAACTTATCGAATATGAGCGTTATTTGTTTGCTCAAGTTTTGAAGGTCATTTTTTATTTCATAGATTTTCGAGGTGTTTTTTTTTTTTCAATTGTATCGGATAATTTATTAAGGTCTACTCGAATTTGTTTCTTAAAACTTTTCAGCTCTTTAATGAGTTCTGCTATGTCAGCCATATTTGTATTAGATTCGACGGGATTGGGCTTGCAGATATCGCACTTCCAGGACTGATTGAGGTTACTTTTTTTATTTTAAAGATATTTGTCGCGAGAAATATTAGTGCACTTCAAATGAAAAGTGGACTTACAAATAGATCTATATACGTTGTAGGCGAATCCCTTCTTGCAACAGTTGTAGGAGGACATGAATTTGAGTGATTGTGCAAGGTTCAGGTCGAAGCTTTATACTTCAACTATTTTGCAAATTTGCACATCAAATTTTAGCTCGCACGAATATAGTAAGATAATAGCGTACGTTTTATTAACGGTAATTTGATTGGTATCAAAAACCGGACGTTTTAACCACTGTAAACACTTATATACCATCGACAAAGCGAGAGCCGAACAGAATGATTGCCGAACTACCGAGAGAAAAAGAGTGAAGGAGAGAGAGAGAGAGTGAGAAGGAGGAAAGGAAGAAAGATATATATATATATATATATAGAGAGAGAGAGAGAGAGAGATAGAAGGAGGAAAGGGAGAGAGTGAGAGAGAGAGAGAGAAAGAATGATAGAGGGAAATGAAGAGAGAGAGTGAGTGAGAGACAGAGAAAGAGGAAAGGGAGAGAGTGAGAGGGAGAGAGACTGAGAAAGACTGAGGGAGAGACAGGGAAGGAAGAAAGGGAGAGAGTGAGGGAGAGAGAGAGAGCGAGAGAAGGTTGAAAGGGAGAGAGTGTGGGAGAGAGAGAGTGAGAGAGAGAAAGAGAGAAAGACAGAGAGTGAGAGAGCGATAGGGAGTGAGATAGACATGCTGAAATAGAGAGTGTGTGAGTGAGAGATAGTGAAGAGGAAAGCTAAAGTGTGTGAGAGTGAGACAGAGAGAGATACTCAAAACACGAAAATAAATTTAGTAATAATCACCGCAAGTAATTTTAGAAGCTAATTCACTAAATATACACTGCATAGTGAGTTGAGGCAAGCGGCTCAACCAAAGATTTTACGCCGATCAATTGTGTAAGACTTCTGTGAAACTTTGAATAGAGATGGGCAAATCTAAAACAATCGTCCACCCAATCGATTCTTTTAAGTGAGTTGCGGTTCAGTTCAGGAAACTGGAGGGGACGACTAACGTCACACGATTCCCAACGATTCCTCAACAACTCCTGTTTGATTCTTCCAAGAACTTCGACGACTATTCAACTCTTCGATTGCTTTGATTCCTTCGATTCCTCAACTCCCGACTCCCAGTTTGACCCTTCCATTCTTTTGACGACTCTTCAACTCTGCGATTCCTTCGATTCCTCAACTCCCGATTCCCAGTTTGACTCTTCGATTTATTTGACGATTCTTCAACTCTGAGATTATTTCGATTCCTCAACTCCCGATTCCCAGTTTGACTCTTCGATTTATTTGACGATTCTTCAACTTTGAGATTATTTCGATTCCTCAACTCCCGACTCCCAGTTTGACTCTTCGATTTATTTGACGATTCTTCAACTCTGAGATTATTTCGATTCCTCAACTCCCGATTCCCAGTTTGACTCTTCGATTCTTTTGACGATTCTTCAACTCTGCGATTCCTTCGCTTCCTCAACTACCGACTCCCAGTTTGACTCTTCGATTTATTTGACGATTCTTCAACTCTGAGATTATTTCGATTCCTCAACTCCCGTCTATCTAGCCCCATCCAGATTTCTCCTAGGCCGGAGACATATTTTACACAATTTGTCAATAACGAACTCAATGTTCCCAATCCAGAACATCTCGACGAGTTAATTAATAATTATCATTTTTTAAATTAATAAATTATTTCCTTTTTTCAAATTTTACAATTTTATTTACAATAAGCAAAATACCGTAGAAGTAATAAAGAGTGTATAAATAAATAGAATCAGTAAATTTTGTGTATGTGATGTAAATATCTATTAATTTTTTTCTGTTTATTTAAAATCTGTAAACATTAAAAATTATTTATATTTTATAAGAAATTCCTTTTCGAATCCACGTAAATAATTTGACAATAAATTTAAAAAAATAAGTACGCAATCGTTTGTGCTCTATCATATTAATTATTATTATATTAATCGATACGTGTTTGGCGGTCATAATCTTGGCTGATATGAAAAAGAATAATTAATTGAAATTATCATTTTCCATCTCAAAATATCAACGATTTGTTAAAATTTATTTTAAATATGTTTTCTGTTGTACGATTGGTATTGTGATATAACTAAAAAGTAGGTATTAAGCTCTGCCAGCTCTGGTCCATGGATATTATATAAAGGATGATGAATCAGGGAATCGCATGGACCAAAAGAAGAAAAGAATTGGTTCACCTTCACCATTTTCAACAAGCACCAAGTTCGGTTTTCTTTGTGTTCGTCTTGAAGTTAAAAGTTCGTTATAGTATGGTGTCAGGCAGTCGTCTCTTGACCTAAAACTGATATTTCTCTACCTTCTTAAGCCTTTTGCATTCTAATGTTGCTTTCTGAGCTAAATATATACGAGCTTATCTTAGTTTCTCATTTTTCTTTCTCGAAAGAGTACCTCGCCAAACTGTGAATTCTAATCAAATCTACTTCTACTTTTTTACTTGTTAGTGAAGCTTTTGTGTTAGTGTTCATCCTTTTTATTCCAAATTCTTATTCCTTTTTTTATTGTTACTTTATTTTCCCTTTTTTTATTTATTATTTCATAATCCAGTTCCAATCTCTCTAAAACCTTTTCCTCCTTCGGCGTTAGGATATCCTATTTTGAGTTCCCGTTCGCCGAGACGCGCCTACGCCTTCGACAACGTTAACGCCTTGTTCCAGTCATCCAATTCCAGGTCCAGCCCAGTTCATTAGGACTCAAGTTGTGAAAACTAACTACCTACACAGGTATGTATAAGATCTATCTATGTATTTAACATCAATTAAGAACACTCCTCCATAAAAAAAATCGCTACAAAGCCTAAGTGGATATAAAAATCTACATGCTCAAATATTTTCTTTAAAAAAAAATTTATGAGGAGGTAACAAGAAGCGGACGGACCTAGCCATTCAAGCTATAAAACTTTTCAAAAAAAGTTAATATTTTAACAAATAAAAATTATATAATACTTTAATTATTATATAATGATATTAACAAAAATACTTATTTTTGCATTTTGTTACCAATTTTGTTAATTAATTTTTCTTAATAACCAGAAAATGGCTAACAGATCTGATATCTGGTACCACTTTAAGAAGCTGGATGAGAACAACCGGCAGAAAGGGAAGTGCTTTTTTTGTTAAGCAATTATTTCAACACGAGGGTCAACAAGTACGCCGCCACCTTATAAAAAGACACCCTACGATAAACGTTCATCGTGAAGCCCAATCCCGCTCACCATCAACTCCTGTTCCTCCAGTTGTTCAATTTACCCAAACTAATAGATTGCAAGAAATTGAAGTTCAGCATGTGGACTAGCCACTCTCTGTGGCGTTCTTTCAAACACCCTCTTCTTCCAAGGAAGGCTGTTCTTCTCGTTTCACTTAAACCTTTCGGTCTCACCCCTTGTAATGACAATACCATCCCTCCCGTTAGGACAAACTTGCATAAGAAGTTTTGTTAATTTAACTCGCCCAATTACAGTAATAAAAGCCGAGAAATTGATATACAATTATTAAAAATGATTTGTTCAGAGTATCAACCATTTAGTATTGTAAAGGACAAATAATTTAAAACGTTGGTTAACGTGTTATATCCAAATTATAAGTTACCAAGTAGGAAAACTCTATCACAAAGTCTTTTATCTTCCCTATGTACCTCCAATATTGAGAAAATTATACAATTATTAGAAAAAACACCGTCTGCTTGTCTGATTGCAGATGGTTGGACCAATATAAATACAGTAAATTTTTATGCAGTAACTGCACATTTTTTTTATTTTACTTGAGTGTTCCGAATTTTCAATAAGGATCACTTCTGAAAATATATCTATATGGATAAAAGCAGTATTAAAAAAGTTTAACATTTCTGATAAAATATTGCTGCCTTAACACATAGTGGCGCTAACATAAAGGGGGCAATTAGAATTTTAAATTTGCTGCACATATCCTGCTTTGCACATGATCTCAACTTGGTCGTACAGGAGTCTGTTAAAGATTCTATAGGTGACACTGTTGCCAAAGTCAAATTGGTTGTGCAATATGTTAAACAAAGCACAAATGCCATGGCCAGATTAGAAGAAATTCAAAAGAGTTTAGATATGAAAGTTTTAAAATTAAAACAAGATGTGTCAACTCGTTGGAATTCAACATACGAAATGTTGGACCGCATTTACAAATGTGAGGAAGCGGTAATCTCGGCCTTAGCAATTTGCAACCGCAAATTATCATTAGAAAATGATGACTGGAAAGTCATCAAGAAGCTATAGAGCTTCTGTAAATCTTCTCAGAAGTTACAGAGGAAGTTTCTTTCGACAAAAATTTGTCTAAAACCTCTGCTCTAGCATGGGGCTTGGTAAGGTGTACAAGGCACAGCTTGAGCATGCAAGGCTTAAGTGATTCAGTTATGCTGTTAGAGGTCAAATTACTCGAATTAATCGAAGTCATCGATTTGGGAACCGGTAAAGGAATGATGTAGTAAGTCAATCAATCTTTCTTGACCCCCGGTTCAAAAAACAAGGATTTGGGGATGAATCCCGTTTTTTGACACAAAGAAGCTGATAATTCAAAAAATACAAGCTCTTGTCCGAGCCGAGCCACAGTCACTAGTTGAAATTTCATTTAATCAGCCAAGTACATCCAAAATTTGGCAAAAATTTGATGTGTCAATTTGCATTATGAGGACGATCCAAAATCCAAAAGCTTCTGCTATTGTCGAAGTTGATAAATATATAGCAGAACCTCTAAAGAGCCGTCGCACTGACCCTATGGTTTGGTGGAACGATAGGAAAAGTCTATTTCCTAATTTGTACAATCTAGCGTTGAAAATATTGTGCATTCCTGCAACCTCTGTTCCTTCTGGGAGGATTTTCTCTATAAAGGGTCATATATGTACCCCTAAAAAGATCCCGTCTGACTTCATCAAAAATTGCATAAATGTTATTTATCAATCAAAATAGAGATATGTTTTAGAGTAAATAATACTTAAAACTCTGAAGGTACATAAGTTGGTATACTATTTAGATTGGTACATGTAGATTCATAAGTTTAGAATTAACGTTAGATTAGGTACAAGAGTACATTTAGAATTTATATATGAATGTATATAGATATATATTAAAGGTAATTGAGGATTATTGAGTACTCAACCACCCTAACTGAATGAATGGTGTAAGTATGTAAGTTATGTAAATAGAAATGATTACCTATATAAATCAGCAATCAGTTAATTAGATTATATTGCATGATTATTATGTTATATTGCTAGATTATATTATACTATTTAGATTGGAATATGTACATTGTACATGTACATAGTTTAGAAATAAGATAAGATTATGTACAAGAGTACATTCACAATTTATATATGTTATTAAGGGTGATTGATCTTACTTTTCATTAATTCTTATAACAAGTGTAAATGTTGGTTGATTCATATGTAAGATACCTAAGTAATAATTCATTAATAATATGTATCAATAAACATGTGATTTTTGTTGAGTTTTATTTTTAAAATAGTATTTATTTTTATTTACTTCCAAGAAATGTGCAAAGAATAAGCAATAAATTGTATACAATTACACTGAGTACAAAGAAATAAGGTTTTCATTAGTATTACTACCATCATTACTTTTTTCTTCTAAAAATACAATGATTTGATACAATTTATATACCTAATAATTATTATATAACATTTTTGTTGTGGCAAATAAATACTGGAATTGAAAATTAATTTGAATTATGGCGGGAAATTTGGATGAAGGGAGGAACCAATAAACAAAAAGCTCTGGTGCCAGGAGTGGGGGGAATCGAGGAAACGAAAAAATCGACTCACCTCAGGGATTGAATCGTAGGGAATCGATTCACTTAAAAGAATCATTCTTCCCACCACTACTTTGAACATTTTGCACTTCGACATTGTTCCAGATGGCGCGGCTATTGACTCTGAGACTTATAATAAACTGCTCTATAGAGCTTACCAAGTTTTAAAAGGGAAATAAACCTTTTTTGACGACCGGATAAAAGAATACTTCTACGTTCTTCCACATCATTTGCGTTCGGCTAACGGAAAATCAACGTGATCGAAATAAATCACCAAGATTATTACCTTTATGACAAATTAAAATAATGAGATTTTCAACAATAACTACTGTTTCTGAAAAGTAAAATTGTTATGAGGAAATAGGGAAAATAGTTGGAGTTTAAGAAATTTATTACTAATTTGTTATTAAAGTAAATTTATTAGAAAGTTCCTATCTTTTTCGTCTAGTGTGTGGGTTTAAAGTAAATCGGCTTTCCAAGTAAAGCTAAATGCAGCCGACTTGGTCAGATGGGCGTAACTGACTCTTGTTATCGTTATTTTTTCGCCTTTTTGTCCGTTTAGCTTGATCTACCTTTTCTTGTATTGCTTGGGTTCTGATAGACTTTATGTTGTGAACCAACTGCAGTGTCACCCTTGTACTTTGTGATTTCCTTTTATTATATGTGCGTGCAGTGCAGAATGTGTCGAAGATTAATCCTGGGATAGATCCTTGCGGAATGCCAGCTTTTATTGGCATGATTCGTGAAAAAGCCGATTCTCAATTCAAAGCAGCGATCCGAGAGGAAGGACTTCAGAACGAGATAGTATGTGTAAAGGAGGTTGCTTTTTTATATATTTATTTGAAATATAGCTGAGAAATATTATTAAATGAAACAAAACGTCTAAGAGGGTGAAGTACGGAAAGTGGAAAGATGCTTGAAATTAATTCAGAGATTGTTCGTAATTGTAATATCATTGTCGATGGAATTTTGTGCAAAGATATAATAGTTTTCTGTGGCATGGTATTGAATGTAGGGGTAAACTTGTTCGCCAACTAGGCATCACCCTAGGTGAAAAATTAATATTATTAAATTATTTAGTTGTTTCATTACGTTTATACTTGATTTTTGGAGGCCATAAACACATTGATAGTACTATAGCTATGGAACTGTTCAAAATATTTTATATACAGTAAGTTGTAATATACAGTTAAAACTTCTAGGGTTTTATATTCAGGAAGTGAAGTATGTGGTTTTGAAAACGTTTAGTTGCAACAAAAGTGTTGCAATTTCGGTCTAACTTTCTGATATACACAGTAAGGCCCAAGAAATAGAATTTTTTTCCCTAAAATATTCCAACTCTCCAGTATATGGGGTCTAGAAGTTCAATTTATTACCACATGACCTTGATTTTGTATTAATCGTTAACTTTAATTTTTATTCTTTTACGATTTACGTGTGTGGTGATTAGTGACCGTTAATCGATAATTATTCAGAAATCGTGAGATGCGGTCGACCGATTTACGATTAAGCCCCTTCTTCGCTAAAAATAATGGGTAAATTTTTGTTTTATAAACTCGTTTTACACGACCCATATAAAAAAAAGTTTAACAGATCATTATCAACAAACCACTTGGAACATTTTCAATTTAGAACATTTAATTTTTGACAATCAAAGAACAAACAATAATCATTTGAACACGCAAGTCAGCACTGTTTTTTTCTCAATTCCGTAATAAACTTCAATGATAAAAATGGTCAAAAGCAAAGAAAAGCACTCAGTACTTCCATGAAGGTTTCGAAGAACATTTCCTCTTTATCAAGGCTTTGAAATTGTTCGGGCTGGCGAAGAATAAAAAAAATGAAAATGAAAAAGTGAAAACAAAAGGTTTTATTTTGTGGACTGTAAGTGCGAATGAGTAGTATATACTTACATTCGTTTAATGTAGCCTTGCGGTGTTAAAGCCTCAGTTGCAATGCTAGGCTGACGTTCCGTCGAACATTGAAATGAAGGATAATGATATTAAAAAGAAAAAACAAAGGAATCTGAGGGAATGGAAAACAATGGATACTCTGCGGTGCTCGAACCAGATTACATTTTGAGCATAAAATAATCAACAAACTTGACAGTTGAGACAGAAAATTTAACTTGAAAAAACAACCTAGAGTCTTCGGAAATCCTGATAAGGATATATTCCTCAAACGTTTGACAAAAGAACTTACTATTTTTCTTTATTTTAAAATTGTCCCTACTCTTGATATTTTATCGAAAACATTATAGTAATATTGAAGGCTGATATCAATTATATAGAGATAATTATCTTCTTTCAACTAAATGCCACTTATTTGTTAAAAATCTAACGGATCAACAAAATAAGATGTTATTTATTTTACGGAAAATTGCTGATTGCCGAATGTTTTCTTCCAATCAACGATTTAGTACCAATTTTTATTATTCGCCAGTTAAACATTACAAATCTAACTCTTGGTGTATGTCCAAATCGTAATGTGGTTTCGTTAAGATGGCAGTACGGGTTTAGTTTAAAAAAATATATATATGTATAGTGAAAGAAACCAGGTTGGACAAGGGCCAAAAATTGGAGACAGCCACTCAGTTTATCGTGGTAGTTGAGCCGGGAAAGAAATCAGTTTAGTACATGTAAGCTAGGAAAGAGGGTGTGAAGGGTTCTTGTATTAATTCAGTTATAGTAACACGTCTCCTTTAAACCTTTTTTGTTAATTAAAAGGTGAATTTTCAGAAAGCAATTTAACCCATCGGACTGCGGTTGCTTAAATAGTAATGACTTTAATCTCGTAGGCCACTCTACTCTTTATGTTAAACAAGAATACAGAAAAACATATTACTTGTTTACAATATACGTACCATAAGATTGTAAATACAAATTTTTGAATGGAAGCCCGTAATGTGAATTGAACCGAGTTGTTTTCCTTCATTAAATCCGCACAATCAACACAT